AGGTATTCAATTATGCTACTTCATTATTATTTTAAGTTAACATTATTTAGAATTTATAAATATATTTTTGAGATAAAATTTTATTATTACTTCTCAGGTTTCTTTTAATGCAAAAGATGAAACAATTGAATGTGAATGTTTGCATTTCACATTTTTTGGAATCCTTTGTAGTCATGCTTTCAGAATTCTTATAGATTATGACATTGCCATGATACCTGAAAAATACATTCTGGATAGATGGAGAAAGAACATAGTGGATATTGGTTTTCAAAAGATAAACAAAAAATGGAGAGTGTGCAGTACAGAAATTTCAAATCTCTTGCAGGATGCAACTTCTTTTTTTGAGAAATGCGTTGAATCGGTTATTCATGACAAAGAAAAACTACAAGAATTGGTGAACTCTCTTCAACAATTAAGTGAAAAATGTGGAAAGGATGTTTCTACAAGATCAAGTTCAATTCCAATAAAAGATGTGATTGAAAATATCATCGGAGTTCCAATTTCAAGTGATGTGAAAATCAAAGTACCAAGTGAGATAAAAACAAAAGGAAGTGGAAAGAGGAGTCGAATCAAAAGTGCTGCAGAAAAAGCAATAGCAAAAGCACTTAAACCAAAACGCAAATGCAAAGGATGCAACCAATTGTCAACCATGATATAAGAAATTGCCCAATAAATCCTTCAAATGTGCTTAGGCCTTTCAAAAAACATCAGTAACTTATATATGAATTTTAGATTATTTGTTGTTAAGCTTCTCTGTATTAAAACTATTACTATTAGTCGCATTAAACGATTTGAATTTTGAATTACGTACCTATTCTTTTTCCTTCAACATCTTCTCTGCAACTCTTTTGACCATGTCTTTCGACAAATGTACAATTCCTAAAATCATGTTGAACCAACGTATTTTAAAATTTACACAATCTCATTTGTTTTTTATACATCTTATGTTGATGAAAAATATACATTATATTGCAATATATATTTTTATTTATAACTTACACACACACACACATATATATATATATATATATATATATATATATATATATATATATATATATATATATATATATGCCACTAATCTTCCGAAATATATGTTAAGACTATTTCAAATCATCAACTAAATATTCAAAACATTTAATTAAAAATATTAACTCTAATGAGATTGAAAAATATAATATTAGATATTACACATGTATATATACGCAACTAATCTTTAAAAATATATAATACTATATTACCTAATAAAATCTTTCATTTATTGCTTAAATCTCTTCAAAATTAACAATTACAAAAAATATTAAAAATAATAAATAGATAAGTCAAATTAACTTAAATACAATAAATACTTACAACACTTTCACATACAAACCTTTTCATCTAATAGTAACTTTATATTATACACATGTACATACACGCAACAAATCTTCAGAATATATAATACTATATAACCTAATAAAATCTTTCATTTATTACTTAAATCTATTCATAAATGGAGAAGTCAAAACAACTTATTTACAATAAATACAAACCATTCTTTCACATAAAAACCTTTTCATCTAATACTAACTTCATAATTTATATTTTAAAAAAAATTAAAGAAAAAAAAATAATGTAAAAACTATAAATAATAACAATACTGAAATCACATTATAACATACAAAAAAAAATTGCTATATATCAAATTAATAAAAAAAGGTAATATATTATTTTGACATGCATGTCTTTAGGTTAGTACGTAACGGTTGTTGGTGACATTTGCAGATCGATGAGCTTAATGACTTATAGAACACTATACAGATGTTAAGTTTGAAATGGCTAAGCAAATTATCTTTGTCTCATTTGTTAATTATGAAACTCTTATCATATCCTTTTTGATAACCTAATTTTGAATTGTTAAGGGAATAAAGTATTTGAAATTATGAGACTTTTTTCGAAATTTATTACTTAAATGTTTTAAAAAATCTTTCATTTATTACTTAAATCTATTCATAAATAGAGAAGTCAAATCACCTTAATTACAATAAATACAAACATTTCTTTCACATAAAAACCTTTTCATCTAATACTAACTTTATAATTTATATTTAAAAAAAAATTAAAGAAAAAAAAATGTAAAAACCATAAACAATAACAACACTATTATCACATTATAACATACAAAAAAAAATATTATTTTCTATATATCAACTTTTTAAAAAAAAGTAATATATACCGATTAGTTTTATAAAATACAAAAAAAAAATTTAATTCATAAAAAGATAAGTATTATCATCTTCAATGTATAGATAACATGATTAGCTAAACCTACAACCGCCAAAATAGCTATACCACTTATTGAAGCAAATGATGGCAGAAAATTAATTACTCCTCTACTTACTCCGATTGTTACCGCTATATATTCCTCCTAAACATAAACATAAACTTAAGGAAGAAAACACATACATTGATGGCTTCTAAATCATCCATTTGGGTAGTTCGAAACTCCTCGGATTATCTTGATCTTTACGACACATATGGTATGTTCTTTATTGTTAAAATCGTATACTATTAATACTTATATAATATTCTTTTCAATATTCATTCAGGGTGGGAAAACAAAAAGTACTTCACGATGATGCTACATCATGGAGGTAGTTTCAAATACTACCCAAATCGCGATTACGATGGAGACAAGATTGACTATGTAGACTTCATCGAGGTTGAAACTTTCTCCCCAAAGGTATTTCAAAGCATCTTAACTCTTTTGGTTATGATGTTGAGACAACATATGCATACTCTTTAGTCTCGTTTGCTCCCTTAGACATTGGTCTAAACAAGCTTGCTTATTGGAATGATTTCATTAACTTTGTCAAAAAAGTTAAAACAGAAGGGTTTTTTTTTGTGTTCAACAAGTTTATTTGGAGCATAATCAAACCACTGTTACAAACTTCTTCCCAAAAACTTTAAACTTTGCAACAAACAGTTATCTGTGCACGAAACTTTATTCAATAGTTGCATCAAATCCAAAAATTACTGTTTGGGAGGCTAGGATCATGCTTTTTGACAAATTCAACTTTTGGATAAATGTTGACAAACTCATTGAAGCTTTGGATTACACCAAGTATCAAGTGAATCTTCTGGGGAAGTAGATGAAGCTGCAAGGTGAAAAGTGGGAATTTGGGTTTTTTGGGTTTTTGGGTTTAAGTAAATGGTGTTATTATTAATATTTGGATTTTATAATATGTTTATGTGCTCAAACTTTTGGGATGATGTAATGGGGACTGTAATATATTTTTAAATATTATCTATCGTGGTTGTTTATAATGTTAATATTATATATTATTGTTGATATCTTACTCTGAAAATTTTAGATACGACGGTTTTTAAAAGATTATAGATATTGTGTATTTATTATATGTTATATTATATATGATTGTAAATATATTAACTTTATAAAAGATTATACATATACAATCAAAATCAAAAACAAAAAACGTAGCCACACTTTTCATATATTATATAAACTTATGTCGTAGAAGTACATTACATTCAACCAAAACAACAACAACCAAAAACAAACACACATTTAAAAAACTTCATAACAAATGTTCTACTAACTCATTCATAACCATTACTATGAATACTTCTACATAAACATAACGACTTGAATTTTACTTCAACAAAGATATATCAAGGACCAAAAGCGGCTAACCTAGCTGCTATATTGATAATGCCTTCATGATACATTACACGCCTGCATTTGAAGAAAGCTTTTGATAATCAACAAGAAGTTGTCAACTTCATTTTCATTAGATTTACTTCACTCAACAGAATTTTCATAGAATATCTTCTTCGAAGATTTCTAAGTTGCAAAATCTGCTCAACACTTTCCATTTTAAAACCACATCTCCATTGAGCTAAAGACCACCTTTATAAGTTTCCATATGACGCATCAAAAAAATCCCACAATCATTACTGTTACCTCTTGTTTTCCACGTCATATATTGATCAACAAATTCCATTTCATACATAACTGAAAAAGCCATAAAATGTTTATGTCTTGAAGATATCTACCAAACATATATTTCTGCATTTACATATAAACAAAAATTCAATTATATATATATAATAAAATATATATATATATAATATAATATATATATAAACTCATAATATACATAAACATTTAAAAAAAAATACAAACAAACTTACCAGATTTTGATTAGATGTGGGTATGGTTTTTCAGAAATCTATACAATATGTTGTCCAATATGACAGCTTTGCGGTTTTTAAAATAAAAAAACAAACACAAAATAGTGACTGTTTGCACATGCAGGAAAGAACACCTAAAATAAACATAAACAACTTCATAGTAAATACAAACACAAAAGGAATAAAATTTCAAATAAAATTAAACTTACCAAATCAATTCCTTTTAAATTTCTTCGTTCTTTAGACTCCCAAACAATGAAAAACATTTCTTTAAAATTCTCGTACACATCATCATATTTACATGCTTCACTATGCATGTATGCAGGATCCTAAATACAAAACAAAAATTCAATAACATCATAAAAATATACTAACAACTACTATACATACCAATACTGCTGTCTTGAAGAAGAAACATGAAGAAGTCCAAATTCCTAGCTCTCTCATCATAGTTCACACTTCAACAAAAACAATTCAATAGTCCCAGAAAAAAAAATTCTCCCGGATATAAGCTCTCAAACATGTATCTTTCCCCACGTTGACCATTTATGCTATGAAAAAGATCATCCCTATTAAAATAAAATAAAAACATTAACTTAAATATTATTTATATATAAAAATATATATACATATACACAAACACATTACGTTGGATTCCCACATAAACTGAATACCAATTAGACTGATATTCTCCTCCTTGTCAAATTACTATCAATCTCAACAGCTCGTACAACAAATGGAGACCTAAGCACTGAGGTAACGTTGACTTCTTTGGTCTCGATGAAATCATATCTTTCTCAAGAATTTTAAACTTTTTCACTTTCATCGCAAGACTTAGGTTCATTCCCTTTGACTGAATCAGAACTTATTCCAACAGAAACATAATTATTGTGCACATAACTATCAATACCTGGATTAACTTTTGGAGGAGTATACATATCATCCTCAATTCCTAAATTAAAAGAAGGAATACTCTCAACTACACACTTTTCCTTATGACCACCCTCGCAATCCAGAGGCAACTTAGTTTCAATAAATCCAGATTTCCCGAACAAATTTGCCGATCCATATTTATTAACAACAACACCTGGACTCACTTTTGGAGGAGTATGCATATCGTCATCAATTCCTAAATTAAAAGAAGGAATACCCTCAACTACACATTTTTCCTTATGACCACCCTCGCAATCCACATGCAACTTAGTTTCCATATTTCCATATTCGCCAAACAAATTTGCCGATCCATATTTATTACCACCAACGCTGTTGTTAACAGACTGCCCAACATCTCGAAATTCATTAGACTTATCATCACAACTACTACTTTTTTCCAGATGACTGAAAAGCATATTCGCATTTATAATTACTATGACGAAAAGCTTTATGCAGAACATAACTCTTTCAGCTTCAATCCATAAAACTCTACTATTTTGAAATTTCCATGCGTTTTAAAGGCTTTATCCACTTTCTTAGACATATCTACTAAACACCACTTCATTTCTGAATGAAACTCCTGATAACAATAAAAAACATAACAAAGTATAATTAATGTATATAACTTAAATTTAAACATAAAACAACATACAAACAAATAAATCATGTTCAGCTTCAAAAATACACAAATAACATACTTACTAAAATTGATCCTCTAGAAACTTCATCAACACTTTCCACTGTAGCAGATGGCCTTCCAAAACCTCCATTAGAAATTTCATTCATTTCTCTCACTTTCAACTGCTCTAAAGTCCAATTATTAATTACTGGATATCTTCTAACCATTAACATTTGCCTACATTGAATCCTATCAACATATACCAACTACAAAAAAAAAACAAAATATAATAACAAAATATAAATATTACTAATATTTTAAAAATATTTACTCAAACAACATTAAATGACATACCATTAGAAAGACACTTGGACCATTGAAGAAGGTCTTAATATCACTTCTACCCCAAATCAACTTTTCCTCTTTTACACAATTTAATACATATGTACACCAATCAAACTTATCTAACTTATATGATTCAGACAAATACGGTAGAAGCTTCAAATTGCATGCACCTTGTTTGTTACATGATCCAAAACATGTACATACAAGAATAATAAAGTTTGCAACAAACACCATATCTGCTTCACATCGTTCTATTATCTTGTACACAACATCATTTGGAGTAATTAAAGACAACGACTTCTTGAATTGATCTTTCCATATTTCATACCATTCCTCATTACCTCTTAAACCAACACTATTTAACTGATCAACCCCCATAGGCAGCCCTAACACCCTATTAACATCTTCCCTTGTAACCAAAATATTAGAAACCTCAGTTTTAATAACCATCTCTAAAGGATCAAACGAATCGACAACAAAATAACATAATTTTGCTGGAATACTTTGAGTCTTCATGTCTATCAATGATCCAAACCCCAAACTCCTCACACATTCTTTTTGCTTATGATTCATTGACTTCACAACACCATATATAGAATGAAGAGAAACACGAGAATACAATGACTTTATTTTATCACTATGCAACTCCATTTTCTTTTCAACTTTCTTATCAGCTATATTATCCACCCTCTTCACACTACTACTGGAACCATCCTCAAAATCATAATCACTAGAAAACTCTACGACAAAATTATCAACATACAAACGATGTAAAATAATATAAAAACATTAATAAAACATAATCATTAAATAAATAACACAATAAATAAGTAACATTATATTCAAGTTTACCATGTTCGGAGACAAATGTTTTACTAACTTTTCTAACACTTCTGTTAACCAACTTCCTGCTCCTTGTAATGCTCCGAACTTCAAAATCAGAATCACTTACATAATCTAAATTATGTCCAACAAAAAAAAATTATAATCTACATTAATAATAAACTTAAATAATAACCACACAATAAAAAATAACCTTCTGAATCAGATGATTTTGAATTTAATCGACCAAACAAACCATGTTTTCTCTTTTTCATCGAACTATAATCAGACTGACTAACATTATTCCTTGGCTTTTTATTCTTCCAAGAATTACTAGATGAAATGTCAATTGTCTTATTCCTAGAATTACTAGAATAAATCTCAATTGTACTCTCATCATCTACACATGCAGCCATAACAAAATCAAACCGAAAAAAATGATAAAATAAGTCAATTTGAAAAACATTAACAACAACACATCATAACTTACTCTTCTTCTTAACTTCATCATATATAAATTTTTTCCCTTTAGATACTTCATCATCTTCTATTTCTATAGGATGATCACGAGAATTAACCATGCAATCAACTTTAACCACATTCTCATTTAAATAATCCTTCTTCCTGGATACCATTCGTTGTGATGCAATTGTAAATTTCTTCATGAGTTTCGAATTCGAACTTTGCCTATTCCTGTTCACTTTCGCATCTAACAAAGCTTTAAACGCAAACATTATGTTGAATAATGTTGAAATACATAATCTAATATAGATAAAAACAAAGAAAACCCTCTGAATAAAATTTCAAACAACAAACGTAGACCTTGAAACAATTACACATAAACGGTTACATCAATTTGAAAACCGACTACTCACTTGTCAATGACGGTTAGATTAAAAAAAAACTACAAAATAAAATTACATTTATAACTTTTAATTAAAATTTAATAAAAAACAAACGATTACGTGTGAAATAAAAACAACAACTACTCTAATACACATGGTTCTTTCCTATTGGTTCTTACCATTTTCACATCTTACTCTCATTTGTACACGAACCCACTTC